GTACCGTCGGCGGAGTCAACACGAGTTCGTGCGTTGAGAGAACTTCGAGACTTGGAAGAAAGAAACCGGTTGTACGAACTTGAGGAGGAAAATCAGCAAACAATCCTCGAAATTCAACGGAAGCGGATTGCTAGACGGAAGAAGGCGCTCGAGCGACGGATGGAGCTGACACAATTTATCAACGGTTCTGACGGCGAATCAGATTCAGAGGCCGAAGTTGAATCGATGGACAAAAGCGGGGAACCGCAGCCGGAGAAGCAGCTCCCGAAGAGTTTAGGTGCGGTTCGCAAAGATCCAAAGAAAAGGTCCGCCGAAAATGATATCCAGGACCTGTTCGATCGTTTCAAGGAACTTCTGGAAGATCAGAATGGAAGTAAGCCCCAGAAGCCAGTACCAGGAAAGTCCACAAGAATGAGATCATTGCTTTCTGCAAATCCAAGACTGCCTCGTTCGTCTTTCGAGAAAGATGATGAAGCACTAGAGTCAATCCTCGACGGTGGGGACTACAAAGGCGATAAAGTGGTTGCGGCGGGACCATCACGGCTCCAGATAGCGTCTCGACAGGTGTTTCCGAGGAGCCTGCCGAAGTTTTATGGAGCAGCAGAAGAGTGGTCGATCTTTATCAGCGCCTACGAGCAGGCAAACCAGTCCTGTGGATTCACCAACGCAGATAATTTGGTCCGTCTACAGGATGCTCTGAAGGGGAAAGCATTGGATACGGTTCGAAATCGTTTGCTTTTGCCGGATCGCTGAGAAAGCTGAGAAAGAGGTTCGGGAAACCGAAGATCCTGTCAACCAGATTGGCGACAAAGATCCAGCAGCTAGAGGGACCAAGCTCGGAGAGTTTGGAGTCGGTGATCGAGTTCGGAAGTGCCGTCGAGGAGTTTACTCAGCATCTCAAAGCGGCCGGGCTGGTGGACCACTTGAAGAACCCAATTTTGATGCAGAGTCTAGTTCCGAAGCCGCCGTCGTACTATGCCATGGAGTGAGTGGACTACAAGCGACGCGCACAGTCAGTCAACTTGGAAACATTCGGTGCATTCATGGAAGGTCTCGTAGAGAAGGCGTTGGAAGCAACCTTCGCGAAGGCATATGCAAAGGAGAAGGGTAAGATGCGAGATAACCCACAAACGAAGGCTTTCGTTCACGTCACGGATGGAGATAGCGGCCAGTCTGGGAGCTAGATGTAAGCTGGGAAGAATTCGTCGCCCCAACCCCAGCGCCGAGAGTTGAAGTGTTCCGTGTGCCTAAAGTCTGGGCATTACGGAAGGAACTGCCAGGAATTGCTCAAACAGTGTGTTGCAGAGCGGTGGTAAGCGGTGACTCGGTTAAATCTCTGTCCACTCTGCCTTTACGACCATGGACAACGATCATGTCGTATAAGAGTTCGTTACAAGGTAGATGGCTGTCCGGAGAACCACAATGCCCTTCTTCATGGTGGACCAGCCGGATACTCGCGAACTCAGGTGCAGTGTAATAGTTATCGTCAGTCGAAATGTGCAGTTCTGTCTAGGATGGTTTCAGTGACGCTGTACAATGGCAAGAGAAGAGTAGGTACTCTAGCACTCATCGATGAAAGATCTTCGGTAACCAAGGGTTGCGGTAGCATAACCATCGTGAACGCGCCCCTTTGATGCGCCCCTTTTTGACGTTTCTTGCCGTCGCTGTTGCAGTGAGACGCATACATGAATGTAAACAAAAATGGCGCGTGGCGTTGAACATTGTTCTTCAGTATACAACGAAAGGCTGCCCGCCAGCAGCGAGCTGCAGCTCAAATGAGCGTCCATTCACCGAAGAAGGAGGAGGAAGCCGCACCGCTACTGATCGGATTCAGTAGCTCTTCGTGAGTCGCTGTAGGCCATCTATGCCAAGCGCGTCACCCTCGTTCGAACTAACAAACAACTGGCCAGCCTCATCCGTGTTGAACACCCTAATAGCTCAGCACTACTCAATCATTGTTTGAAAGTTAATGTTCATTGAACGTGCACTCGCCTTGCTGCCAGCCACATCACCCCCAAAGCTCTTTGATAGATTCTGTGACACTACCCCGAATGTCACTACCCCGAACACCATAACCCCGAACGCCATTACCCCGAATGCCACTACCCCGAATGTCCTACTACCCCGAATGGCCATTACCCCGAAATTAAGACAAATGAAAGAACAGCAAGGGGTCAAAAGAAGGGTACATTTCTAGAAGGAAATTTCGTTTTGGAATTTATACTGAATACAAACGATAATTTTTTATTGGAATTTTGAAGCTTGCAAGCGAGCAAGCTTGTTTTACGCGAGAAGCCCGAGAGATGTCGTTACTGAAGTCCTATGTTTTGAGATACTATGTTTTCAAGAAAAACTTTTTCAAAGTGTTATGTCTGTTGTCTGTGATTAAACTCTCTGATTAGTTTCACTTTACTAAATTGATGATACACTACGTTTACTTTTATGGAACTATGTATTTATCAATTCCAAACCATTTTAAAGCTCTTTAGAAAATGACAACCTTCAAGTTTTCGAGCACTTCGTTCACCATTTAAAAAGTCAAAGGGTCTAATATGCAATTCAATTCAATATGCAATACCAGTCGGAAACTGTTAAACCTTATCAAAGAATTGTTCGACCTGAGTCTAGACCTGAGTTGAAGAATTTCTCGTTATGGATTGAAAAATCGGTGCATGGAACGTTGAACTATCGATTACAAATTTATAACATTATTCCACACGTTATTATCCCAAATGGTCATTACCCCGAATCCCTTGCCAAAAGCTATTGATTACATATTTTCCTTATATATTAAAAGAAGGGAATATTCCCTTCCCTTCTTTATCATACATCCAAAGATTAAATTATTTTCTTTTTATATATTCAAAGAAAGGAATATTCCCTTCTTTATCGTTCATCCAATAATTAATTATTTCCTTTTGTTATATTTTCAAAGAAGGGAATATTCCCTTCTTTATTTCATTTTTTTTTTTCATTTTCAAGCACAGAAGGGGGTCATAGGGCCAAGTCACCAGCGAAAAATTGCTGTCCATACTGCACCAGGGTAGAGGTATAGATTTGGCATCACAGAATAATAACCACAGGGGTCAAATGAATCCTGTTTACGATACCGGATAGTAAGGAAAGCTGTTGAACATAGGGGATAGTCAGAGTAACAGCAATAATAGTGAAAGTTAGGAAAATAAGCAGGTAGAGATGGTTGATTTGCAATGGCTATCGACTCTGTTATATGGCCTACCGTATCAGATTCAAATTTAATGTCGTATTGCGCTTATTACTTTTATCTTTATTCTAAGCAATCTCCTTTCATACTTGTTTGTTTTAAAGTGAACTGGATGAAATGATTGTTTTATCATAATTATGTTAAAGTTAACTACTATTCATATTTGCTAATTAATACCTAAATGTAATTTTTAATTTTATGAAGATAAGTTGCTCAGAATAGCAGCCTGTAATTCCGTACCAGAATCCGCCTCCAATTTAATGTCTTTTGTGGATTCGTAGTAGCAAAGTTGTGCTAAAAGCTAAATAGTTACCTAAAAATACTACCTAAATCGTTCACAATCAGAGCCGGGCCACTGATGAAAACCAAAACAGTGTCAGCAGGTTGAGCAAGTATTTTTGCGGCTTTGGAACAGCTTCAATGTTAATCGGATTAAGAGTTGCAATAGTTTGCCGATGTTCGCAATCGTCGGTAAAAAAATTGCAGTCTCTATTCAAGGAACGGCACCTTCAGCTCAGCGAACTCATGATTGCTTGCAGTATGTTGTAAGTAAGTCATTTTCGATAAATCAATTAAATGCAAGTGAAAACGATTTTCCAATCCGAAGCATGCATCAATTGGTGAGATTGCGTTCGAAGTTTGTACCATGCTGCCGCACTGTTCGAAGTATCACCGGGACTTTGCTCGAACCCGGACGGAGCTGCTGATAATCGGAATCAACACGTTCCACGATATCAATATGGACGTGTTCGTCAAGCTGGCAGTTTTAAGGTGGCGTCTTTCTTGCATAATATGGGATGATATTGGAAAAGTTGTCCAATCCTTTTGTTCGTGTCAAAATGTATAGAAAGTAGTTCGTGTGTTGGAACAAATTGGCAGTCTTGAACTGTGTAACAATCCAAATTAAAATTTAAAATTCTCCCTCACCCCCTCTCATTCACAAAAGCTGTGCTGAAACATAGAGTTGAAGTTTAACGTTCCACCACGAGTTTTAAATTCGAGACGCACCCGTCCTCTTAAATTCTCAACTCAAGACCCGTAGGTCCCCTCTAAGACACTTATTTTACGACTAGCCCCACCCCCAGGTGGGTGGTGATCTGACTGGTATCCGTGGGGCTATATCATCAACTCTTAAAATGTCTCTCCAAACACAGCGCTGTCGTGTCACTGTTGACGTTCCGCGTATAAAAAGCTTACTCAACTGAAAAGTGTCACTTCAAGTGAGCACTGAGAGGGAGGTCCATACCAGCTAATAAAAACAACCCTTTCATCACTTACCCCCTCACCCTCACATGGCAGTCGGAAAAGTGCTTGCCTCCGATGTTGATGTTGTACCTTATTCTTAAATTGTACATCCTTCCTTGTACTTCGTCGTCGTCTTCATCATTGTTGCCACTAGTAGGTAGGTACACCTACACATATCTACTCTTCCTCTCGACGAATTTAACTGCAAGCAGTTTACTTTAGATCGATCCGAGCAACAAACAACTTTCCCGCTGACTGAAGCGTCGTTTTATGGCAAACCCGGGGTCGGATCCCTCCCATCATCGTCTGCTCGTAAAACTTTGAACCGGGCGACTCTCTATGTGTATGTATATGTTTGATTGCGGGCAAATGGGGACTATCTAAAATCATAGTTTTCCATGCCTTCGGGTGGATCGTAAAGTTGTGACTACCCTCTTTCCTCGAGCTTAAGAATGTTGGGAGGCCTTCTCGATATGTTATTGGATTGCAGTAAAACTTTAAATCAGATTTCCGATTGTTGCTTGCGACTTACCTCCCGATACCTGGCAGGACAGGAATAGCTCGTGCCCTTCCCGAAAGGGTCCCGCTACCGTGGCGATCTCCTTTCCCTGGGCGTCGAATATCCGCGGCTCTTCTGGTGGTACTGTCGAAGACAAGACAAGCATTTTTAACCGTCGTATTTGGCATAGCAAATAAATTTCACGACAACTTACCGACGAGCGTCAGATTGAACCGGTAGTTCCGGGTGGGTGAGTTGAAGAAGTCCACCCGGCACCGGTACACGCCACAGTCCGACTGGTTGATGTTGCTGATCTGCAGCCGGGCTTCCTTCAGATTGCCACTGATGATGATCTTTAGCTTCTGGCCCAAATCGTCCCCGGTGGCCCACTGGACGCCTTCGGACACCGGCACACCGGATCGGGAATCCACCGAGTAGAGGGGGACACCGATTGAATCCTTAAACCAGAGGACCACTTTGACGGCATCCTGCGAACCGGGGGCGGTGATGTCGCACGGCAGCTCGGCCAGATGGCCCTCGGCGGCCCATATCGTCCGGGCGGGAACTGTGAATCGGGCGAAACAACGGGGATGAGTTAGTATGGTTGAGCAGCAATAAGCTTGTGAAGTAAATAAACGCAAATTAATAGTTCAACGATTAAATTAACATGCATAAACAAGATCGACTTATCTAGGGAAAGAAGCTCTTTCAATTTGATGTGTGCTTCGATCTTAATGTCAATAGGAGTCGTAGAATTATTTAAAAAATATCTAGTGAACAAAAGTATTGACACATCAAAACAATTGGGTTCTTAAGGGGTATTTAAGGATATGTGAAACAGAACTCAAAGCACTGTTTCAAATGATAACTGTTTCTTGTTTCGTTGAGAATAACTTTGGTATGCCTGAGAGAGAAATGTATTAGGGCATTCTTTATTTATATTATATATCAATCATTGGGTGGAGGACTACTTCGGAACTAGCACGCATAATTAAGTGGAAATTTTGCACAATTATTTGTGATTGCCCTACATGCTGCACGTTTGGTTTGTTAGTATTGTACGTGACTAACCTTTTAAAAGGGCTTATGCAAAAATGATTTCCATTAATTCAAAACTACCTATCTCGAGAACGATTTGTTTGATCGAAATAGTGTCTTTCGCGAAGTTGGGGAGCAGTGTTGTTCCATTTTAGAAAAAATACACTGTTAAAAATAATTGTGTGCTTTCGTAAAAAAAATTAAAACTAAATACAAACTTAAAATATTTGGAATTGTATATGTAAAAAAATTCTATCAAATTGAAGCTCAGATAACGTGTGAACTATTGGAAATGTTTTTATTTGAGTTTAAGAAACTGCTGTAGACTTGAAGACATATTTCAAGTCGCTGCGTACATCGTACTGGTTAGGCAAAAGATGTGCGTTTGACTTTATACTGTCGCATTAATGGCCCTTCGCTCATTTTTAACTTCTATTCAATTTTCATACTGCCGTACTCTAACGAAACTTTCCACCTACCCTCTTCTAAAGTTCATTCTCTAGCTAATAAATTGTCACACTGAAGTTTCATGTTAGCATTTCCAACCAACACCCAAAAAAATATGATTTAGTGAAAATATTGAAATACATGAAATTTACAACAATAACGCTCATGATACCTAAATTGCTCAGTGTTGTTATTTCTGAGATATTCATAGTTTAAAACTTACTAATCGTGTAATTTGGGTAATTTTCGACCTTTATGAATATTATTCGTGAGTGTCCAATATGAGAATATTTTTAATGAAAAGCGCATTTACTTTCCTTGAACCTTGCAGTTTACAGTTTTTTAATCAGATTCACGAGTTTCAATCAAATTTCGATAAAAAAAAACATAAGTCCTTGTCATAAGTAAGGCGCATCCATAACTAAGTAAACAAATGTGTAAAATGGCATGTTCGGGGTAGTAACAAACAACAGTGTAAAATTACAAGTAATTCTAAAAACATCGATCCGAAACGATTTGCGAGTCTGAGTGGAAATGCTCCACTTTAGAAACATTCTGAGTCACTTCAGAAAGGTTGTTAATCTCTTAGGAAAGTACTAGATCACTTTAGAAATTTTAGGAGTCACTTTGGAATGTACTGAATCACTTCGGAAATGTTCTGCATCGCTTCAAAAAGTATTGCATCATTTTATAAAAAATTGATACCAATTCTAAAAGAGATGAATCATCCCAGAAATATTCGGAATCAAATCGAAAAGTACTGATTCACTTCAGAAAAAAGTTCTAAATCACTTCGGAAAGAACTGGTTTCCTTTTGAAAAATTCGGAATCAGTACGAAAAATACTGAATAAGTTCAGAACTGATAGGAATCACTTTGGAAAGAACTGAATCACTTTAGAAATGATCGCAATCACTTCAGAAAATACTGAGTCACTTCATCAAAGTTCTGAATCTCTTAAGAAATCACTTTAGAAATATTTGGAGTCCCTTTGGAAAGAACTGAACCACTACGGACATGTTCTGAACCACTTCGGAAAATACTAAATCACTTAATACATGTTCGGAATCACTAAAGAAAAGTTCTAACTCCCTTCAGAAAGTTATAGACCATTTAAGAAATACACTGAGTTACTTCGGAAATGTTCTGAACACTCAATAAAAAAATCGGAATCACATCTAGAAAAAACTAAATAATTTCAGATTTATTTAGAAAGTACTGAATGATTTCCAAAAAAAAAAATTCGGAATCACTTCGCAAGGCATTGAATCTATTCAGAAAAGTTCTAAATCACCTTCGAAAGTGCTGCAATATTTTTGAAAAATACGAAATCACTGTGAAAAGTACCGAACCATTCAGAAACGTTCGAAATCACTTAAAAATGTACTGAAGCACTTTAGCAATGTTCCAAATTAATTCGAAAAGTACTGAATCACTTAATAAAGATTCATAATCACTTCTAAAAGAACTAAATCACTTCAGAAATGTTCCGAAATCACTTGAAAAATGTTCAAAATCACTTCGGAAAGTACTCAGTCATTTCAGAAAGGTTCTTAATCTCTTAGGAAAGTACTTGATCACTTAAGAAATATTCTGAATCACTTCGGAAATCTTTTTGAAAAATACTGCATCACTTTGTAAACATTCTAAATCCCTTCTAAAAGAACCGAATCATCCCAGAAGTATTCGGAATCAATTTGAAAAGTTCTAGTTCATTTTGGAAAGTTCTGACACACTTTTGAAAAATCGGAATCAGTTCGAACAATACTGCATCACTTCAGAACTGATAGGCATCGCTTCGGGAAATACTGATTCACTTCAGAAATGATCGAAATCACTTCGGAAAGTAATGAACCATTTTAGAAAGTACTGAATAATTTCAGAAAAAATCAGGATCACTTCAAAAAGTACTGAATCATTTAAGAAAGTACTGAATCACTCCAGAATGTACTGAATCGCCTCATAAAAAAAAGAATTTGCTTCTGAAAGAACTAAATCACTTCGGAAAATTTCTTAATTCCTTCAGACGGTGCTACATTACTTTTGAAAAATTTTGAATCAGTTCATAAGGTACTGAATCAATTTAGAAATTATTAGAATCATATCTCAAAGTACTGATTCACTTCAGAAAAGTTCTAAATCACTTCGCAATTAACTGAATAAATTCAGAATGGTTCAAATCGCATCGGATGGAACTGAATCACTTCAGAACTGTCCGGAATCACTTCGGGAAGTACTGAATCACTTCAGAGATGATCGGACTCATTTCGGAACCACTGAACCACTTCGGAAAGTACTGAATCACTTTATTAAAATTTTAAATCACTTCTAAAATAACTGAATCAACCCAGAAATATTCGAACTCAATGCTTAAAGTACTGATCAACATAAGAAAAGTTCTAAATCACTTCGGAAAGTACTGACTTGCATTTGGAAAATTCGGAATCACATCGGAAAGTATTGAATCGCTGCAGAAAAGTTCTAACTCATTTGATAAAGTGCTCAATTACATTTTCCGAAGTGATTGCAAATATTTCTGAACTGACTCAGTTCTTTTCGAAGTGATTCTGAACATTTATTAAGTGCTCCGAATTTTGTAAAAGTGATTCAGTACTGTTTCGGATCTCAAACTATTTTTTTGAAGCAGTTTTTTGTTGTTGCAGCTCAAAACTGAAATATAGTGTTTATTTAAATTGCATCATTACGTTTTGTTTCACATTACATACATAACTAGTTTTCACTCCTAGCTATCACTATTCAAGCTCTTTCTCTCCCTCAACTATCTGCAAACTAAATGCAATTTATGTTAATATTCTTTCTATTTGATATTCAATTTATATTTCACCTTCACTATTTTCTTCAACCCGAATTCAACTGTTGATCACTAATTCTAATTCTATTTTCAGGTTCACCAAGAGCAATTATTCACCGCGTAACCACTATTTTTCAAAGCAATAGCGGTAATAAAGTCTTTCTCACACTAATGTTTTCGTCTATTATTTTTCTCCATCCTTCGTTTGACGTTTGCGCGATATAAGTGATCCGTACAAGGTGATCCGCACAAGGTGATCCGCACAAGGTGGGTGGATCTTACGCACGCTAAATTAACATTACCCTGTTTCATTCACGCAGTGGTGCCAAGTGCCGCAACAAGTACTTTCCGAAGTGATTTAGAACTTCAGCGATTCATAAGTTAATCAATACTGAAATGTTTCGAAGTGGTTTCAAACTTTTATGAACTGATTAAGTCTTTTTTAAAGTTATTCCAAACATTTCTGAAGTGATTAATTACTTTTCAAAGCTATTGGATTATTTTCATAAGTAATTCCAAGCTTTTTCATGTGATTCCAAACATTTCTAAAGTGATTAAGTACTTTCTGAAGTGATTCAAAATACTGCACTGCACTGAATATTGCAATACTTTTCTATGTGAATCGATACTTGTGAAGTGTACCAACACTTCAAAAGCATTAAAGTGTTTCATTACTTTCCAAAGTGATTCTAAACTCTACTGAAGAGAATTAGTAAATTCTGGATTTACTTGGAATTGGAACTGGATTATCGTAGGAATTTTACATGAACTTCAAGAAACTCCAGAAAACGTCAGGAATGTTTAAAGATCTGTTGGAAAGGTCAGAGAGCAGTTCCATAACAATGCGAAAAATATGTCGGAACTTTATGGCAGGTACGAAAATTTCAGGAAAATTTTAAATGCTTCTACGCCATTTTCGTGTTGGGTATTTTCATCACTGCAGCCATTACTTTGAACTATTACGATTTTCCGGGATATTGGATTGACTTCAGAATAAAATTGTTACTTTACAGATGTTCCAAAAACAAAGTCCAGGAACTTCAATGAAGTTCCAGGAAATTTGAAAAATATTGAAAGCATTACGTTAGTTTCATTAATGGTTGAACATCAGAATTGATGCAAGAACACAAAAAATGTAAGAACCTTCAAAAAGTTCAGTTAATTCATGGAAATTGCAAAAATTTCAACGAAGTTAGACCTGAGAACTTAAAGAGCTACGTGGAAGCCATAAGATCTTTAAGGGTTGGTTGCGATAGCTTAAGGAAATTC